CTGTTAGTAACATTGGAAGTGTTTGTATCTACTCAGAACAGTAGTACAAGGTAGCTGTAAGACTCAGGACACTAATCAAACACAAGTGTCTACTCTAACTAGTTAATAGTAGGGTTGTAAGCCTTAAGCCATTTGAATCTAATAAAGATGTCTGTCTTTCTAAGGTTAGTGACTCTGAACTCAATACTTTCCTTATGATCCTGAATAGTTATCTATAGTTGGACAAACTCAGTAATCTAACTATTCTAGTTTAGAGTTCTGTCTATATTATATACTAGGATTGGAAGTAGAACACATTAAGTAGGGAGGTAGTGTTCCTACACAAAAGCCTTATTAATGTATGAACTAGTACATCTACTATCTACTAGAGCTATTGTTTGGATCTGGGGGGATCCTAAGAAGGGAGCTAAAAGGACAGGGACTTAGAGCTAGTACTTAGAACATTCTTAGATGAACTACTACTTGTCCTAAAAGGAACATACAGCTTGTACAGTCTTGTTGTCTGAGAGGGTGAGTATATACACTAACATTTCCTTAGTAACCTCTCTCTTTCAACAAGGATGAACTTATGTCCTTAGCTGTAAGCTCAGCTGAGACTATCTTTACTTAATACTATAAACAAACTACTGAGTAGTAAACAGGGCTGAGTAGTGTTCTGAATATTCTAAGATCTTGAAACACAGAAGTGGTAGGTTGGATTGTGTAGATTTAGACTTGGATAAAGTGTAAAGAGAAGAATCAAAAGAATCAGAAGAAATAGAAGAACTATCTACTTTTGTTTCTGACTTTTTTCTTTCTAATAAATAATTTTGTTGATTTATTTTTTCTACTTTTTCTACTTTTTCTACTTTTCTTACTTTATTTACTTCTAATCCTACAGTGTCTATTGAATTAAAAGTAACTATTAAAAAATCTGAGTTATAGCCCTTTAGTACTACATTTACTGTTAGGCCTCTACAAAATCCTAGAGTGTATAGTTAGGGTCTAGGAGTTTTAAGGTAACTTCTGGATTTACAGAAAAGGCTTCTTACTATAAATCCTACTTGTTACTTGTTATTACTCTAATAACCTAACAGATATACTATTGCTTCTGTAAACAGTCCTTAATCTAGTGCCCTGACTTTCTGTAAGTAAAGTATACTCCTTACTTTTAGGCTTCTCTAATGTTCATTAGAATAGATTGATTACAAATTACAGGTGGATTAATCTAAAGGCTCAGAACTGTTAGAGCTAAACACATGTACAAGTATTCTGTACAGACTTAACACATCCAAGCTACAGCTTAGTTGAAGGAGATAGTGTATGTTTTCTATTCAGTGTAAGTAACCAGTTCTAGCATTATTCTAAGGATCTTATCAACCAGTTCTGAGTAAAGAGCTTTTTCAAGTATTCTAATAAGAACATTATTAAACCCAAGTGTGAATCCTACCTTCTGGGCCAGAATATCAAACTCCTGAAAAAAGGTATTAGTAGAATGTTTGCCCTGTTACAGAGACACAAGCTTGTTCTGTGTATTGTGCTTCTCATTCAGATTAATAAAGGAAGTACAGAGCTGCCTCATAAATTCTAAGTATGACTTATTGTTTTAAAGTCAGATCAGGCTTCTAATCTAATAGCTTTCAATCCAGTTCTAGGCCTAGGTGGCTGTGTTACCTTCCTTCATGAAGGAGAGGACAAATAGGACACAATTGAGATCTGAGAATAGATTAGTTAAAGTAGTAACCACATATAGTTCAACTTAGTACTAGAAGTTCTTAAAGTGTTACTTATTAAAGTCTGAAGGGTAGGCTACATACACTTTCTTTCTAGAACAGGTTACAACTTCTAGAACAATTAGAACAGGTTCTGAAGAGGCTGAGGGCATGTAGTTAGTAAAGGCCTCTTAGATAGAGGTTTACACATATTAAGCTAGTTTTACTTGTAACTACTAATCTAGTAGGACAGTAAGGGTGACAGTTAGTGTAGAAGAGTCTATATTTATACTATAAAGGAATTAATACTAAACTAAAAGGGGTAATGAATAAAAGAAGGGTGGCAAAAGTTTAAAAGGGTTTAGAAAGTTTAAAATTTAAAAATGTAAAAGGGTTAGGACAAAGGAAAGAGATTGACACAATAGTAAGTACTAATGTCTAAAACATAGGAGAGTTGTAGAGTAGTAATGAGTAGTCTTAATCTAATGTTAGTAACAGTGTAGAGGGGACTCAAAGGCTTAGTAAGGGGACTCAGGCTATAACTATCCTATACAACAGAAATACAGAATGTAAGTACTAGAATATAGTCAGAACTTATAGAACAGGCAGAGAGAGAGAGTAAGACAAGAGTAGAGTATATAGAGTAAGTTTAAGAGTACAGGACTACCTAGAGTAGACAAGATTAAGACTACAGAACTAGTCTGATCTTGTACACCTATATATACTAAACTATACAAGAGTACTCAGAGAGTATGAGCTACTAAGAATGATAAGCCATAAAGAATAAAAGAAAGGAATGTTAAAGATAAAGGTATAAAGAATAAAGGGATAGATAAAGGGTAAGAGACTATAGAATGAACAAAGAATAAAGAAGTAGTTAAAGGAATAGAATAATGAAGTAAGGAAGGGTAGTAGTAAGAGTCAGTATACATATAGTTTATAAACAGTACTCTTGAGAGACAGAAGTCCTGAGTTCTAGTACAGAAGAGTGTAGAACCCTTAGAACTAAAAGTAAGAGAGTAGAGAATTATAACATTCTGTCCTTTAGAGACACTATTTATAAACTATATACATACTAACTCTTACTACTACCCTTCCTTACTTTATTATTCTATTCCTTTGACTACTCCTTTATTCTTTGTTCATTCTATAGTCTCTTACTCTTTAACTATCCTTTTATTCTTTGTACCTTTATCTTTGACCTTCCTTTCTTTTATTCTTTATAGCTTATCATTCTTAATAGTTTATACTCTCTGAGTACTCTTGTATAGTTTAGTATATATAAGTGTACAAGATTAGACTGGTTCTATAGTTTTAATCTTGTCTACTCTAAGTAGTCTTGTACTCTTAGGCTTACTCTATATACTCTACTCTTGTCTCACTCTCTCTCTCTGTCTGTTTTACAAGTTTCAACTATGTTCCAGTACTTACATTCTGTATTTCTGTTGTGTAGAATAGTTGTAGCCTGGGTCTCCTTACTAAGCCTTTGAGTCCCCTCTACACTGTTACTAATAGTAAGTATCTTTTTCAAATATTTATATATATAGTTTTATTAAATTTCTTTTATAAGTTTGTAAGCTAGTTAGCTAGATTCATAAATACATACTAGAAAGGCTTGACTAGTAAACAAGCTTAATAGGCAAACTGGAAATACTATAGTTATAGAGTACTTTCTAATAATATTTTAACTAACTTATAAGTATAAATACACAATATACTTTCTACTTAACATATTTAAAAGTTTTTACATTTTTTCTTAAGACTAAGACAAAAAATCATATCTTTACTATAATTTTTACTACTAGAGTCCTTCCTAATAGAGTAAGTGGCTGTGTAGTCAGGGTTGTACACATAATACCTTAGGTTTGTTGAGTTTATACTTTCCCTACCTTAATACTAGTGTAGTAACTCTTAGACTAAGAAGTTAGGAGAAGGGTTTAGAGGGTAAAGCTTCTTAATTAGGTTTAGAATAAGTTAGGTTGTTAGATTTGAGTGTTAGAATAGGTTTTGGCTAGGATTAGAGAGGGGAACATGTATTTTATTAGAAAAGGACTTTATTTTGACTTAGTAAAATTCAAGTTAAACTGTAGGTGGCTAATTCAAGCTAACTAAAAAAGAACTGTAAGACTCAGGGTCTGAATACAGAATTAACACAACTAGTACTAAAATATGTGTCTGATAAACTCGACAAGCCAGTCACGTCACGGTCACAACCCTTGCTTACCAAATTAGGAAGGGCCCTTACAGTGAAATTTTAGAGTGTAACTTTGACTTGAAGTTTTGCCTCAGTTAAAGATGATTTTATATAATACAGAGAAGAGAATCTTACCTATTTTCAAATAGAGTTAAATATTACAATAATAAAATATTTAACCATTATAGTCTGTATCTATAATTTTGTAGCTTTATTAAGATGATTACACCATCCAATCATTATGACAAATACTATATATTATAAATATTATTATGTAATATACATATATAGCAACTATTTGTCATAATCCTTATCTAATGGTGGTGAAATCTGAAAGAAAAAAATTAAAAAATTTACCAGACTGCTGGAAAAGTATAATTACAGCATTTAGAGCAAAAAACATAGTTTACAAAATAACTCAGCCAATATTCACTTTTAAGAAATTCTGTTCCATCATTTTGTAGAGAAGGCTTAATACAACAAATCAATAGTGCTACTTTTTCAGTTTTGGGTCTCTGGATGGACGAGTTTCGTGCTCATTGTGGAGGCTGCATTAGGAAGGTAAGGTTACATCATGTGAGTCACACAGCTTGTCGAGTTTATCAGACGCGTATCTTACTAGTAGTAGCGCATGCCTCAAAATAGAATAGTGTTGCCTAAAATAACACGATCGTGGGAGAATGACGATTTGGTGCTGCGGTCAAGCCGCCTGGGTCCAGTGGCAACCAGTGAACCACCATCTTGTTCTTGCTCTGGACTCGTGTACAGCTATTCTCATTGACAACAGCGAGCAAAGTATACAGCCTCAGAAGCCGGGCTGTTCCACTTAGATGTTTGCATACGATTTGGTCAAAAACGTCAGATTAAATTGAATATTGGGAGGCTTATCCTTGTCAGTAGAGACAGTTGGGTATGCATATCTTTACGGCTGCCGCTTGTTGATGGGACTGATGAGCTGGCAGTTCTGGTCCATGTCCACAGTCAGCTTCTCCGATTGACATCCTGGACTTATACCATTCACGCAACCTCACTTAGTTGCGACCTCCCTGCTTACTCCGAGCGTAATGCTCCCCCGAACACGATCAAAGTACTATGCAACTTTAGAATCTGATAGTATGACTCGTGCACGCCGCTTCTTCTCCCGCCACCTGTCCTTTCACTCAAAGAATCGCACGACACTCATCCCATTCTTTATCCTTTTATTATTTGCTTTCTACATTCTATGGCCTTTCACGGCTAGTTTGCGTTCCGCATTGGATACATTCCCACCAACAAAGGAAGAAATTAGGAGGCCAGACTACTCTCGATGGCCGAGGGAGAAGAGGGCAGAAGCTGTTCGTGAGGCGTTTGTGCATGCATATGGTGCGTACGAGAGGTATGCGATTCCGAATGACGAATTGAGGCCCTTGAGGAACTCGAGCGTCCAGAAGTGCGTCCTACGGCTTTGACTCCCGATATTTACTATTCTAATCGGATTATTGGCGAAGTATAGTTTCAATGGATGGGGTGTTTCGATGTTTGATGCACTTGACACGCTTTGGCTCATGGATATGAGATCTGAGTTCGAGCGTGCTGTGCATTTTATCTCAAAAGTAGAGTTCCGAAGGCATCGTGTACGTTGAACAGTCTTCGACTTCCTAATAACTCACCTTAATTATGTCTATTGAGGAAGGCATACGATGTAATGTTTTTCGAAACAGTTATTCGCTACCTCGGTGGACTATTATCCGCATACGCGCTTTCTGGCAGACAAGTTCTCTTGGACAAGGCAGATGAGCTGGGACAGAAGCTGCTTCCGTCGTTTAATACTGAAACCGGAATGCCTGCGTTTGAGATTGACCCTGATACGTACGTTCAGTAGGGTATTGTTTTCCGAATTTACTTGTTAATTCAGGTATTGAAGAGGTTCAATAAAGCTTGGACCACGGGACCAGAACGTGGTTCTCGCGGAAATAGGATCATGTCAGATGGAATACAAATACCTTGCGCATTTGACCGGTAATCGAAAGTACTATACATTGGTAAAATGCTTGTATATTTATCGGGTTGGTGGTGTACTAACACTGATTTTCTAGGTGGATAGGACGTGGGACTGGTTTGAACGGAACCAGCTGGAGAACGGGATGTGGTATACGGAATGGAATGTTACAACAGGTCAAATGTCAGATAGTCAGTAATGCCTCTCGCTGCAAGTGGGTCGTAGGGAGTGACTAATTCCATCTAGACCATCTTACCATCGGAGCGTTGGCAGACAGTGCTTACGAGTACCTTCTAAAGCAATACCTAATGTCTGGAAAGTCAGAACCACGACTACGGAATATGTGTTGGTTTTCCTATCATCTCGCAACAACGCTTCACAACGCTTATGACATTAATTATAGATATTGCATCTATGACTGGTATGATAAAAAATCTCTTGTATCTCTCTCCAAAGCGGCAAATCCTTTACGTTACCGACGTGTTCGTGCGCGACGGGGAAAGCGAACCGGAGCCATCGCGGAAGTTTGAACACCTGTCCTGCTTCCTTCCAGGTCTCCTCGCACTTGGTGTCAAAACGTTAGGGAACGAACTCCCAGTCACTGAACGTGTTTTACACGGATGGGCAGCGGAGGGTCTCGCGTATAGCTGTTGGCTGATGTATGCGGATGATCCTCATGGACTTGCACCAGAGGAAGCATTATTCGAGCGTGAGGATAATGGATACACTCGGGTCGGTGGAGAATGGGCTCCTGCAGAAGGAGTGGAACTTCGGAGAGACGAAAGGTGGTTTGATGCATACGAGCGGTGGCGCATTGGGGGTAGTCGTGGGAAGCCGCCTGGAATTCCGATTGGAGACGACAAGGGCGTTGCGAAGCCCATGCCACATGCGGATTCGGTAAGGAAGGAGTACTTTGCGTTGAAGAAAAAATTCCTCTTGAGACCCGAGGTGCGTCTTTTCTGGTTAATCTGTGATGATTCTGTTGTACCTTACGAGCTTGATTGTGTGACATAGACTATCGAGAGCTTGCATGTGATGTGGCGAACGACTGGTGATGAAGTATGGAGAGATAGGGCGTGGCAGATTTTCCTTGCTATTGAAGAGAACTGTCGGATGCCTACTGGTTATGCGAGTGTAACTGTGGATCGTCGATCACCGGATAGACTCTTTGCGTTGGATGAGATGCCTAGGTATGTCTGACTGTTGATCTTGCCACCTCATTTCTTATTTCTTCTGACGCAATTAATTTGCCTGTTGTTCTGTTTGTTCTAGTTATGCATTGGCGGAGACGTGGAAATATCTGTATTTGATGTTCCGCGATGGGTACAATAACGATAGTGGAAATGTTGATCGAGGCGAGCTCATCCCGATGGATAAGTACGTGCTGAATACCGAGGCACACCCATTCCCGATTTTTGAATGGACAAGGGAAGAAAAGGAAGCGTTTGGGATTCCGAGGTAGAGTCGGGACTGCAAAATACCTCTGGTACTTAGTAATTGATAGATACGCTAATACGTACAGACGTAGATTTATTTATTCAAGTGGACATTGCTTTTCTTGAGTGTTACTATGTGTCGTTGCTATCTGCATTGAAAACGATAATATAGAGGATATGCAGCATATTTGCTAGGATCCTGTCTCCGATCGATTCGGGTTAGAGCAGTTGAACCAAACAGGAAATAATATCCTCAAAATATATGCATTACCAACCAGTAATACCACAGTCTTGAATTACCTTGACTCAGTATTATTTAATAATGTTCATGTTTTGTTCATTTTGGATATTTCTTATCAATTCTGTGGACTGCTGGGGCAGACTGGAGGAGTAACAAAAGTGGGAGTTTTATTAGCTGTATAGGTACGTTGCTGTAACTGTTATTACTATCATAAAATATGTGGTGAATGAAGGACTGATATTAAACTGTGTGATCTATTGAAGGTAAGCAGGCCAAGAAGCGTAAGCTTGGCATTGATATAAGCAAAGCAATAGTCGTTGATACAGAAGACATTCAGTATATGACTAGGGTCTATTAACAGAAAGCTGTTCGGAGGAGGTCGGAATTCTTCGGTTTGGAATTTCTTGCTTAAAACAAAGCAATTCATTGTGGATGCCGATTGAGCGTTGATTCGGTAGAACCGGGTAATTAGTAGGAGCAGCTGACAAGCAGAAGAGAAGGCGGGAAAGAGAGGATCATGAGCTGTCGGTTGAATCTGGACCCAAGCCTGGGACACTGAAGCCTGAGATGAAGGTGTCTCACGCAATACGGCAGTGACCATGGCTGAAAGGAATAGATGATCCGATAGCGATCAAGGGCGATCGACTCTCTGTATGGATAAGAAGAGCAGGTACACAGGCGCTCGAGGATGAATACGGAACGGAGCGACGGTAACAACGTCCGTCAGGTTTAATTGGATACATAAAGAGAAGGAAGTACTAGCGGTGAATGACACAAGAGCACACACAGGCCTATGAAGGCGATTCCTCATTAGAAAATCAGAGTTTGGTGAGATGCAAGAAACAAAGTTTAGCCAGGGCTTCTGGTAACTTAACATTGTATCCGAAGGCAGGCATTGCGAGTATTCATTTTTTGCTTCCGTCGAGGCCGAGGTATTTTGTTGTGGATTTTGGAGAGTAAGTGCTTGGGTGAGAGGATGTGTGAATTATCGAGACGCGTCGGGCTCACTTGGCGGACGCGGTTGTCGCACGGGTTTGTGAGCGACCACAACGATGACGACGGATCTAGACTATACCTCTCATGACATCCGCCACGGCGGGATGCTGGACCGAAGCTCCCCCAAAGAGGAGATGATGATGAGATGAAAGGCGTCGTTGCCTCGAGGCAGGCACGTTTTCTCCGGCCTCTTCACGCGTTATGTTCTCAGCCTCCGTCAAGCTTACTTACTCCTCATCCCTCCGTCTCTCGTCCTCTCCCCTTCTTGCCATCCTCTTTCCGTCTTCCCCTACATCACTGGCATGGAAAGCAACAATATTACCGTTTCTCGGTAGCTCTATCAACAGGAATACACTTGCGCGGTCCAATCGGGCGAGAAGAAAGCGTGCCGTACTTCTATTAACTCCCTCCTGGTCAGCACATTTCCGCCCACCCCTGCGCATGACTCGCTGGCCTTAGCTGACTTACCCTTCTACTATCACTAGAACTCTTTCCCCTTTGTTCTCCTGTCTCGATCCATCTGCATCTTCAGTGACACGAGTGCGCCCTCTCCCCCGCGCTTTCACAGGCTCCATTCAACCTAGCCTGACCAACTCTTCGGCGAACAATACAATAGCACAGTTACTAATAAGAAGGCGGTAGACAGAGAGTCACCATGACGGAGTACGCAACTACACCCTCCGCAATCGAGGAGTGGAAGAACCAGAGGAATCGCACCTCTGACTGGGTGAAGCAATACGCTGTAGGAGGTCTTCCACCTTCGCCGACGGACGAAAGCGATTTCGACAAACGTAGTCTCTGGGACGGCGGTGGGTGGGAACCCCCAAGCGATTGTGAGAGCTCGACTAGCGTCCCACCAACTATGATGCTTCAGTACGCCGATGCCCGTCAAGTATACATTACGCCGACTACCTCGCATGTTAGTGCAAGCAATACCGGATCGCATAATGGTAGTAGACATGGAACCCGGAGGACCGGAACACATGTACCGTCAGAAAGGAGGGACGAAGAACGGACAGAGCGCGCACGATCAATACGCCCTACTGAACCGCTAACGCCAGCTTCTGCACACAATGCATCCGCAGTACCGAGTGCTGCGGCCCCGAAAAGTGCGCACGAAGCTGTTGTAGCACCTTCACAGACAAGTTCTATGCGCCTCGCCCGCGCAGCAGCTGCACCGTTGCCTGATTCACACTCGTCATCCTCGGGGGCTGGGTCCGCGGGTTTCCAGTCCGCTTCTAAAAGGTCTGTACGTTCGTCCGTGGCGCCCGGTCCTGGTCCCGCGGCGAGTATGCCACGCTCGATGCGTCATGAGCGCTCGCGTTCGCGTTCTCCTTCACCTCTGCCTTCTCAGCAGCTTTCGCACCACCCTTCTCGAATTCCATCTCAAGTACCATCGCATCATCCGTCGCATACACCTTCGTACCAACCTGTGCATGTATCCACTCACCAGCCCTCTCATGTTCCTTCTCAGCGTCCCTCCCATGTACCTACTCACCAACCATCTCACGTACCTTCTCAATATCCGTCGCACGCTTCTTCTCTTCATCCTCCGCAAGCACCTTCCCTTCATCCACCACAAGCACCCTCCCTGCATCCATCGCATGTGTCTTCGCATCACCAGCAACCATCCCATCCTCCGTCTGCCTTCTCTAATCATACTGCGGCTGCCCCACCTGTTCCTGGGGTGCCAGCCGCAAGTAGTCCTCCCTCGATACACTCTATCAACTCACGATCTATCTCTCTTGCCGACTCGCGTTCCTCTGGTCCTCCGGAACCAATTGTAATTCATCCTCCGTCAAATTCTTCGCGATCGACTGCTGGGCCTTCTCCTACACATACACAACCTCCAAATGCAGGTGTCATCCCAGGTCATGGAGGGGCGTATACGCCGACAGCGCATTTGCCGTACGTACCTCCATCGGCTGGCAGTGGGAGTCTCAGTTATTACTCAGTACCAAGGCAATCTCACGCGTATGATCAGGCGACTCAAAGGCAAAGTATAACGCCCAGTCATCATACAACACATGTACACCAGAACGGACAGCTTCCTACCCCAGTATCTCCCGGCTCGCATGCACACTTTGCCAACGGGGATCTACCGATGCGTGCTCCAAGTAGTGTAGCTACTGGATTAGGTGGCGGATTTGTAATGGTCGATGCTCCCTCTCCAGGCTACGAGAAGGAACTTGAGCGCGAGCTCAACGACAGGAAAGGAAGTGGAAAGTCCAATTCGTCTCAGAAACGCGAACGAGGTAGTCTCTTCAACGTCTTTGGCGGACGACCAGGTGGACATTCGCGGTCACGTTCTCTCCCGATGGCCGGATTAGACGAGGTACGGGCAGAGACAGAAGACGCCCACGAAGCGCCCGTCCCAGCGCCACATCAATCCCGCTATTCCCATTCTCAGCAAAACCCGTACCTCACGCCTATCTCGCCGATGTCTCCGATCAGCCCTGTAGACCCGACTCGCGGACCGCACCCGCCGTCGATTGTATATGCACCTGCGAGGCATCATCGTGCGACTCATTATGCTCCGCCGAGAATCATGTATATGCCTGCGTCACCGCGTGGACAGAGACATGCACCGTATGATACGCAACAGCTTCTACAGCCGCATGCACATGGATATCCACAAGGGGCGATACAGGGATCCCCACAGTATGTCGTTGGATCGGCGAATGGGTATGCGCCGCCTGCTCATGGTGTAGAGTACGCACCGGGGAGTATGCGTCGTTCGAGGACTGGTGAGGAGCCTGTACGCGATTCTGGATGGGACGAGGGGAAGAGGGAGGGCTCGGCGGTGCACCATGAACGTGGAGCTAGTGCGGGAGAGTATGTCGCACGCGACTTTGCGTACGAACATGCGAATGAGCAGCCTCCGACAAGTCCACATGCGTCTGTTGCTCACACGAGCGCTGATCCTCCTGCACCTTCTCCAGCAGCAGCAGCAGTCGCATCTCCCACCGGAACTCACGCGACTACCCTGTCAGATCCGGTAAATACACCTAGTGTGAAGTCAGATGCGACCAGTCAACGAACGAATATGGCTGGTGTTGGGACGATCTCTGCACGTTCTCGCTCACGCGGTAGACAGCGTGAGGGTGAGGGTGGCGAAACACAAACTGTGGAAGGTGAACGAAGTCGGAGCCGTGCGCGTGGGATGGTGTATTCTACGTCTGCACCTCAGCCACATGGAAGTGCACCTCCGCATGCGGCGATGATGGTACCGCCGTCGACTGCGAGGGACCGTGGTGTGAGGGATACGCCGTACCCTACCCCGCCTGGTTCGACGAGTGAGCATCAACATCCGCATTCGCATCCGACGCCGCATCAGGGGTATACTCCCGTGATGGGTCTTGTTCCTAATGGATATGGTGCTCATCATGCGATGCAAGCGCCTGTGTTGCCCGCTACTGGCGTTGAGTCGTCTCCAGTTCCGGGTGGCTTGATCTCGCGGTTCCATAACATTTACCACCGCTCTCATAACCCTACTGTCCATCCAGTTGTGGAAGAGAAAGAGGCTGCTTCTTCGAGCCCGACTCGCGGACGCGCGCGCGAAAGACGTAAAAAAGAGCCAAAGACCAGACTACGCGGAAATGGAAATGGACATGTACATGAACATGGTCATGGTCATACTCGTTCACATTCCGTCGACTCCGATGCTTCGTGTAGCTCTGTGAGCACTTACTACGTCATTCCGACTCCAGGTCAGAAGGTTCGGATTATCGTGAGTTATTCTCATTCGCCTTTTATACAATATTTACTTATAATAATGGCGGCTTTTAAAAAAGAGGACTGATGGTCAGACTGTGACGACTACGACTTCTGTCTCACGGAACGCTTCTGCTGGTGGGTGGTTGAAGAAAGCTGCGGCGTTGCGTCCTCGTTTCCTTCATCGTGACCGAGACGAGTCTGCTGGAAACAACTCTCCAGTGAAAGAAAAAGACGCACAAGCTCACGAAAGTCATGATCATGATACTCCTACTGGACCTGTTGCTGCTCGTACGCCAAGTGGCGGAAGTGATAAGAGCAAAAAGAAGGGATCTCGGAAGTTGGTCCGGAGGAACTCGACTGGGGCTCCAGTGTTGCTTTCGAATGCGCAGGAGCAGGAAGAAAAAGTTGTTGTTGGGGCGGACCATGATCACGGCCGTTCGCGGGATGTGGATATCGTCTTTCCTGGACAGTGATGCGGTGTGCTCTTCCTGACGAACGTGTGTAGCCTTCAACAAGGCTACCGACTGGAAAACAAAAATAGAAGAAAGTACCTGTTTCGGCTTTCAATTTCTTGTTTGTATATTTTTGTTTGCGTTTTCTTTCTTCATTTCGATATGTGGGCTTGACGCTCCATGCCTGTTGCTTTCGTAACCTTTTTACATCTTGACGTTTCCTTATTGCCTTGTCTTTCTCCGTCGTTTGCTTATCATGTTGTTTTGTTTTGTTTTGACCCGATCACGATACGAACTAATCTGCTACGCAACATGTTCCGATATCCAATATCTAACTCTAACCATGTATTGTCCATCTATCCGCGCTACATTTGCAGCTACATACATACATTTTACATATATATGTCTCTGTCTATCTGTCATGTTATTGTCATGTCTATCGTTCTCGCAGTTTTCTGTTCCTGCTATCACCTTGTTTTGCCTTCTTTGCACTCATGTAATGTTGTCGCATCGATAAACGTTGTACACTTCTGCTTGATTGCTGTTTTTGTTGGATCTGATAGTTGTAATTGTTGGTGAAATTGGTGTTGTGTTCCTACTCGCTTTGGGATTGCTTGCTGGAACCCTGGGATGTCGGACGGGTTCATTTTATCTCGTTTTACTCGTTTAGTTGCTTTGCATCTCATCTTGCAATGTTGCAAACGTGATACAGGACTAAGAATATAAATTTGATTGAACCTTTCATGATAAGGGATGGTAATGTGCAATGGTGACGTTGGGGACTTCTAAGTGCTGAATGAATACAGCTTCGTCTATAGATCCGCCTTCTAACAGCATCCAAGGCGGATTGATATTAAATAATTAATGATACGTAAACCTCCTTTTTCTCAGACCTTCACTACGTCAACGCTTCACTATTCACACGTCCCTATGAAGAATCGCAGCGCGTATGAAGAATATTAGTACTTTTGAAGTATGCTGCTCAGATCCGCGGACAAGACAATTCTAGGATTCAACTTCCTTAGAGTGGAAGGCTTGCTCGTAACCATTGTATAAGTCAACTTGGCCAACTAGCTTCTAGCTTGGTGTGTAGATCCGAAAGGCCGAAGAGACCAATAGTACAGTCTCTACGCCTCATCTTCGTCATATACGTAGTTCATCCGCATGCCTTGTTGAATGCGAATGCTATTCAAGTTTGCGCGCATCTACTATACTCCTGATTCCATTCTGAAGTGGCGTATCGGGTGAGTGCAACCCACGTCTGCGTTTTATGTATTTTAAACATAAATATCGTCCTTTTGTGCTTGAGAGGATCGAGTTTGAGGATCTTCGAGTGTCCTTCTGAAGTAGCGTATCGGGTGAGTGCAACCTATGTCATCGGTTTGTTCAGTTTGAATGTTGTACCAGCTGAGTTGTCCGAACTCCAACCCATATTGTCGTGCACGTCTGAGTGGAAGAAGCGATGTTATGCCTAAATATAAAAAAAATTAGTCTGTCATACCAGCTTATCTGCACAGATAATTGAATATAAATGCTGCCTCGCGAGAATCGGTGTATAAATTCGATTCTAGTTGTATTACCGAGGATCGAGTTTGAAGATCTTTGAGAATCCCAATCCAAGTGGTAATTGGCAATTTGGAAAAGCGGCATTCTCGTTTCTAATAATACTTGAGTGAATGTGCTTAGCTTCGAGGTGGGGTGCCTTATTAGGATGACGAAGCGCCACTGCTTGTCTTCTAGACTTTCACGACGAATGATTTCGTGTCATGAGTGGCTTGTGCTGCACTAACTGTGTAGTCATCCCGAGGGGTAAGTAATGCCTGTGATTGCTTACATTATCGTTTCAGGAGTCGCCACTTTCTGATGTTTTTTTCGTTTGTGGCAGACAAAGCTCCGTTCGGGCACGAACGGCATTTGGGGTTGGAAATATGTATCACATGAATCCAGGCTACCACCTGATACTTTTCTGGTAAGCTGGAAACTGGCAGGAAGAATCGTATACATGTCGGAGTCGTCGGGATCGCGATAGACATTCAGACTTGTCTTGGAGTAAAAAGGCAGGGCGGGTAGCCGCCGTATACAATGTGGCTACATTAACTCGTCAATATTATCACATAGAAGAAATCTTATCTTATTTTGGTTCCGATATCATCCTATTTTCAATTTATCTTCGTGTGCGGGGTTGCAGTGACAGGGTGCCCTACTGTTGTATTCATACTTTCACCGATCACGAACCCGCTTGATGATCTCAAGATCCTCAATTCATTCTGCTTCGCTTGAATGAATGAAGTCATCCAGCTGACCATGACAGTGACAGATACACGTTTTCCCCGCGTTTTTGTATCTTGTAATGTGGGGAAGTACTGAGTAGCGATTAGCCTAATTTCCTCTCGGCTCCGTCATTGCTCGTGTTTTCGGCGTGTGAAATGCGTGGCTTTGGACAGCCTTGCCATGAGTCTGGAATCCGGCGTGAGAGTCATGGTAAGAGTGAATAAAACAGCGTTTGATTTCAATCAGTCTCTGGAAGCTACTTTCCTTTTCGGGTTTCTTTTCTCATGGTTAGTGTAAATGGAACAATGGTCGCAAGCACTGGATTCCAGAAAGTGCAAACCCGGGAAATTGGTGTTGGGTCAAGGTCTTGCACCATTACATATTGTATCAAAGTCAAATCATTATAACGACGGAACAGATTCTTGCCAGTCTACGAAGTCAATGTGGGCCTATTAGAACCATTTGTTTAGGTATCCTTGATGGTCCAACGGCTAGGATTGCCCGCTTTCACTTGTTCTTAAAGACTTGAAAGGTTCCGGGCCGGCCCGGGTTCGACTCCCGGTCAGGGAAATGGGAATCATCACATTGCATTTTCCTTGAATAATATACAATCTTTGTTTTCTTACTTACTAAATTGTTAAAGGGTAGGTGCTTGTGTGCTCTAAGCTAAAGAAGAACACGTTTGAATTTCATCGACGGATATGCCAGGTTTCGTCGATTACATAATTTGATGATCATCTGCCAAATATGTCGCGCTGGTAGCGCCAATCATCGCGACAGAATTCCGGTCTCGTCGCGGTATTTTTGACGCTATGCTATGCTCAATTTAAACCAGCACACTGAAAAGCACGCAGTCTAGTGATGTTAGGGACCCACCTCTGGGCGTACCAAGCACGAGCTGTTGTTCGCCCTTCACCCACTGCCTCAGCAGTCAGCTCGATACTAACTAGCATATGAACGTATCTATGCTTGCGAGTGAAGGAGAAGTTCAAGCAGTACGTCCGCCGAAGAGCAAGCGTGTTGTTGTGAGGAAGTACGCGCGTCACGCTTGTGCTCAGTGCAAGAAAGCGTACGTTGTCTTGTCCTTGCATTTTACTTTCGCTTATCAGCTCACTTCTCTTCGTTCTGCAGTAGAACTAAATGTGAAGGTGGAGAACCAGTCTGCCAGCGCTGTCAGAAAACCGGACATGAGGTGAAGCTCCTGAAACTGATGGTTTTCAGTTCATGCTTTGTTTATTGCTTTCTGCAAAGTGCAACTGGTCTCTTGAGGATGCACGTCGTCCCCTTACACGTGCACATGAACAGGCTTTGAAGCATCAGAACTCGGTTTTGCGAGCTCGGGTTGAACAACTCAGTCACGAAGTTGCTGCTTTGAGGCTACTCTCTTCGGACGGATCAAGTTCAAACCCTCCAAGCCTTGCGGGTGTTCCCAGTCCGAGTCATGAAGCAGACGTAGTGGCAAGCTCTGGTCGATCTCAGCTCCACACTGCCTCTTCTCCTGTCTTCTCGGACTCTGCCGGACAAGCTCAAGGTACAAGTTCAGTACCTGGTGCGACTAGCGCTGGCCCCGAGTCTGCTCCTTTATGGGGTCTTGTTCCTGTGGAAGACATCACGAGTGATGTACAACAGGAAGATATTGACCCTGCGGGAAGTGACAGTGAGGCTGATTTACGGCGCCCGGAAACCGAGTTCGACTGTGATGTAGAGAGTGCTTACGAAAGCGACGACAGTAGTGACGACAGTGATGATAGTGATGTTAATGTCAACAAAGCATTGGCAGCACCGACGAAGACACTTTTCGTAAGTCCCGACGAACTTCAGATTGTCGGGTTGACACAGCCTTCTAAAACCTTTTATTTGTCAGACTGAGCAGGATGATCTTCATCATTACGGGCTGACGTCCGTCTTTCGACTCCGGCGACGTGCATCTTTTCGTGACATACACAACCAACTTCATGTAGAAAATGAAAGCGCGGGCAGTGGAGATGATTCGGTGTCCTCGTTGCGAGGTGTTCGCTCAGACCGCACTCGCTATAAGTCTCTTCGATCCATCCTTTCATCGTCTTCAGCAAACGAGGCGGATATCCGTACGGATTCTTCGGAACGTTATAACCGGCTCAAACGAAGTAGGGAGAGCCGGAGGCGGAAGACTAGCGCAGCTCGTTCATTCTCGCCAGTCCGCACTCACCAACATATCCTTCTCGTTGGTGACCTTGACGCGAACGCTTGGAAGGGATGTAATTGTCAAAGTGACTGCTGGAATCGCTGGTTACCGAAAGGCGTTCCGCTTTCACGGACCGAGCATGATATGTAAGTAGAATAATTCAAGATGTGTATCAATTTTCTAATTTCCTTGTCAGTCTTCTGGAACGTGTCTTTCTTTTCTTCACTTCATGGTGTATGCGTGTCATTCCAGAATATTTCTTACGTGATATGTACACCTTCCTTCATCCGTCTCTGTCCCATTCCGCAGCGCCATTTGCTCAAATGTCATCAACAACTCTTCCAAGATTAGCTCACTATTCACCATTTATGCACAACATGTTACTTGCAGTCGCAACTGCCTTCTCATCAGACCCAGATATCCGAAAGCCAGAAACTCGAGCACGTTTCGCTGAGGAAGGAAAGACATATATTGAAGAAGAGTGTTCCCAACCAAATATTAGCACTGTTCAGGGGCTTGGCTTATTAGCGAGCTACTACAGTGGTCTTGGGAAACAGACACTTGGATTCACATATTTCGGTATTTTTTTTTCTCATTTGAGTGCTTCTTTGAGTGCGATGTAACGCCTTGTCTAGGTATGTCTGCACGCATCGCACAAGCTCTAGGTCTCTTTGCGGATTGCACACCTCTTCTCCGTGCAGGGCGTCTTCGTCCACGTCAAGTCTTTGACCGTACTTGGTGCTTCCACATGGCAGCTGCACAAGATGCCTGTTGGAGCTTGTATGTAGGACGTGAATGTGGCATTCCCCTTCCAGCTGCGAAGAAACACGATGAGTCGAAGACTCGAGGGAAAGATGCGACAAATGCTTCTGGAAAGTCGAATGGACAGATTACAGCAAGCAATATGCCGAAAGTTTCCATGGATGATCCCTTTTGCTTGGGTGTTATCTCGTCTGACGAGACAACTGAAAGTCTTGATACAATGGCATGGAGAATTGGGGGAGCGATTGAGGAAAACGCAAATGACGATGTTCCCCAAAGCAGAATGTTCACGTGTTTCCAATGGAGCTGCCAATTAATGAAGATAGGCAGGTCTATCATGGACTTGATGTGCGTCACTTTTATACCAATTGTATTGCACCTTTCTAATAGTATTACTCTAATGTCTTAGGAATCGCTTAGCTTCGTCAGATAGCGGTGCAGAGATCAAGATATTAGTGGCCGATATCGAGTGAGTCCTAAGGCCGAGTGTTCACGCTTCAACTAATGTTCCCGATTCTCTCAGCATACAGCTAGATGCATGGCGTCAAGACCTTCCCACAGAATTAAGGCTCACGTCAGCTAACGAAATGAGTGCCTTACCGCACAAGCTCACGATGCACTCGGCCTTTTGGTGGCAGCACATTTTGCTACACCGGCCGTTCTACCATCGTCATCGAGCAAAATCTGTGGACTCTTCTTTCAGTGTTTCAGTATGTAGCTCGGATCTACTCATCCACTTTCATTGTATCTAATCTCTTCCTCATACAGCGTTGCAACGTCGCTGCACGTGAAATTCTGAGTATATTACGGTTATGGCACAGAATTTATGGGACTGTGCGATATTGCTCTATCACACTTGTTCAAACGATCTTCGCTGCAGGTACGATATGCATTCTACAGGCGATGCAAGCATCCACGGGTCGTCGACCTGCAACCCAATCTCAGGCATCTGCTCTCAGCAACCTCGAAGAACTCGTAGGGTATCTACGAGAATGCTCAAAGAGCTGGGAGTGTGCTATTCGTATAGCAGATATATTCGATAAGCTGTTAAAGGAACAGAAGCGAGCAATGGAGAATGGTGGCAGGAGCAGTTTGGAAAGAAGGGGCAGGAGGAAGAAGAGAAGACTTGAGAGTCTCAGGGAAACTGAGAGTGCTGTGCATGCTACACAGCTGGTTGCGCCGAATGTCGCACTGGCTGTATCTGACACTGGGTCAAATCATGACAGCGGTGGCGGAGAAGCTCGTTCCCCGATGATGCCGCTTCCAGATAACCCGGACCTGTTGGATATCTCGTCTACTGCAGGACCTCAACAATCAAATTTCCCTCCATTTCACCAGTCGCTCCCGGATGTCCCCACTATTTACGGATCACAGGAGCCTCCTAGCTCGATGATGCCTTCGGGTTACCATGACCCTTTTTCGACCAGCCCTACGAACGGCCTTGCAACCAGCCTTCCCGGCCTTCAGGTCCCCTCCTACCCAACCGGTTACTTCTCAGACGAATCTTACATATCCGACGCTCCATACTTTAGCACAGATGACCGGGATCTTGACATTCCGATGAGCGCTACCAACACGGAGGAAAACCCAGCAAGCGCATTCTCCGATGTTGACTTCGACTTTGATTTCGACCTCAACTACCTTCTCAATTCGAATTCCAACGCAGATATGGACACTGTCATGCCTGGTATGAGCATGTTCGATACGACTAGTTTGCCAGGCTTGGCTCTAGGACCGGTGACGGCTGATTGCATGTCTTATGGGAATGCACATTTTGGAGCGTACAGCTCTGATCCTCCGAATCTTCTTACGCCGGCCACCTTAACCGATATGGGTGCAGCCGCGAACAGCGACGTGGACGTTGGTGCAGGTCTCAGCCTCAACAGTGATCGAGAAGATCATCGTGCACTATTTGACCTTCTCGATGCCTTCAACAGCCACGAGTGAATTTTTCAGTATTATTTTTTCGGTTCGAGAGTAACCATGTTGTCAGCTTCTAAATGTTTTTGTTTGCTGCTGTTACTGCCTCATTATTTCTTCTGTTCGCATCTCATCTCGTTTGCCCGTATTGATTACGGTTTATTTATTCTGACATGCAGTGTAACAATACCATTCTCAAACGCATTCGAATATTAATAATAAACCCGTGAAACCGGAAAAGTAATGGGATAATGCGCGTTAGGGTGTGAGACCTCCTAATAACTAAAGACAGATAAATATAATTAAAATTAGAAGAAGCGATACAAGAGCAACACGATAGACAAGAACGAAGGTACGGATACAAAAGATACACATGAGAACCAGAGAAATTAAGTACGGAGTCTCGAGTAAGTCAAAAACCATAGCAGGGGAACATAAAACCATTAAAGTAATTCATATGATAACTTAGAAATCAACAACATAACGAAATGTTAAAAGCTAGTCAAGTGAAGGAATGTGAAATGAGATGAGGTATATTCTCTTAATCAGCGTTAGTACCGCCTCGTAGTCCTCAACACCCACTCATCCGGGCCCTTATGAAACTCCATCCCGGAAAACATCACATCGTCACACAACAAATCGATCACCTTCAAATTCGTATATCCGTTCGGCGCACCGTCCACAACAGCCTCTTCCATAATTTGTCCACGAGGTTTCGGGCGGCGATGAGGGGGTTGGGTGGGTAATGGACGCCCTGTCCGACGTATCATCGCTCTTAACACCGCCTCTTTCTTCTGCGTGCTTGCACGCGTCCAGAAGACGTGCGGCACCATGTTAGGTGCGTGCATGAGTTTAGCGATGTCGGAGAGGAGACTGGAGAGAGTGATATATCGCTGTCCGCGCGGAGCGGAGAGATCGAACGCCCATTGCACGTGAGAGTCGAGTACGAGACGCATGCGTGACAGCGGCGGCGTGAATGGTGATGCGGCGAGTTCTTCGGCGTCAAATTGGCGCTTGGTGTATCGAGGCGGAGCGTTGGACGAGAGGTCCCAGTAGAGTGCGGGTCGTCGTAGCTCGGGCCACCAACCGAGTGCGTTATGAATGAGCGGGTCTGAAGCGGTACTGTCTGCTTGAGATGCTGCAGCTGCATGCATAGCTAGTCGTTGAGGAGTTAGTCCATCAGAATGATGTAGCAAATAGGGATTCGAGAAGGACATACGAGGCGGGTGCCCATCACGTGCATTCGATTGTCGACGGTCGCGAGTCTGATTGTCTCTCCTATCGCTGTCACCGGGAGGCTTGTAACTTGCAAATGGATAATGACTCGCTGGACTGGGCGGCCTGGGCGGTGGGTATGCATGTCGGCCATAATTGTACTGTGCGTGTGTAGCATGACTCGATCCGGACGACATTGGCCATCCTCCTCCTGGAGGGCCACGAGCAACGGGTTGAATATAATCTTCATATCCAAGCGGCACTTCGCCAGGTGCTGGACGTCTCCATTCAATATCCGGGATACCCGATATATGAGGATTGGCGTGAGCGCCGTAGCTGTTATGAGATACTGGTGGTCCTTCACGCTCCAAGTTTCGCCTAAAGGCATCCATATCAAGCATAACTCTTCCGTCCTCGCTGGGATACGTGTATGTGCTGCCAGGAAAATACTGTCGCTGTGAGGTCGACTGGGAGCCTGCCGTCGGCTTTGATGCATACGGATACGAATTCATCTGCGTCTGAGTCTGTTGATATGTTGATCTAGAACGTGTATGTGTTTGTGTGTACGGCTGAGTGCGCGATGAGTTCTGTGAATGAGAATGTGCGCGAGGACGGGAAGGTGAAGCATCATGTACACTCGCGCCTGCACTCGTTTTATACGGAACATTTGAATACGGCCCAGCATTTCTGGCGCCAAGGCCAGTTGCGCTAGCATTATGTGGAGGAACGGCGGCAGTGCTAGTGCCCGCTCTAGGCCTCGTTCTTCGCAAGACACTAGGCGAGACGGTGCGGGATGAACTGTTTGTAAGGCCCTCCGGTGGTGGTCTATGAGTTGCATAGGGATACGATGCAGAAGCGGAAGCAGTATGCTTGTGGGTTGAGCTGCGAGGGACGTAGTCGTACGTCCGAGCTTGCGCAGAGGCGTGCATTGTCGAGGCCATGGTACGGCTCCCCAGCGGTCGTCGATAGCTTGGATGAACACTCTCGCTGGTCTGCAAAGGACCTATATGAAGGTATTGAAAGTAGAGGGCGCAACGGAAGCTATTCTTGAGCAAGGGTGCAGGGCCGGAACTCTCGTGGTGAATCGCACCGGGGGTGACTTCTTAAGCCTTCGCGCGGCGGCCTGGAGCAGCCACAAAGTTCGAAGGTGACTGGTGAAGCAGTCCTGGTTGGCACGGGACCTCAAATTGAATTTACCTCCCGCAAGAATAAGATGTGAAAGACAGGAGAGAAAGATAGAAGATCGCAGAGCACACAGACGCTCGAGAAGGCAAACACAAGAAAGAAATCAGATGTGCAGGAGTATTGTTCCGGAAAGTCCGAGAAGACGAAAGCAAAATATAGAGCGAGAGAGAGAGGAAGGACTGTTATGGTAAGAATGAAAGAGAGGTGGACACTACATATAAGTCATACAGAACAAAAAGAAAACCACGGGATGAGTCGTCATGGAGCCTAAGCATGCACTAAATTGGACTCACCTCCACTCTAATCACACTCTGCACGCCTATCCGCAGCCTATATTCGTAAAGGGTAATCGCCCTTTCTACAGCTAGGCGGCGCCTATCACGGCGAAAACGTGTTGGAGGAGTTAAGTGGGAAGGACCTGAAAAAAGCCAGAGTCGGGTAGCGAGAAAATTGCCCCTATGGCAGTGCTAGTGCATCAGTGGCTTATTGCACCCATCAGTGGTGACACAAGTCGCCTTTTATTATACACACGCAGCCTCGCCACTCCTCGTCACCGAAAAGGAGAATGAGGGGGACCTCTGCAAGAGAGAAGGGCATGCTGTATGCGTTGTTGGAACGTGCTTTATGCACTGCATCGGTGATTGACCTGAACTAAGCATATCAGGACGACTGCATAGCTGAGTCTCGTGGGCTATATCAATTTGGCAGGCTTCGCCAATGCCTCGTGTCTACCATCCCAAAGCACTCCTTCGGGATGACGACAAAGAGAAGTATTAGTCAAAGCAGGAACATCGATCATGTTCATCTGCATAAAGAGCAAGCAGCTAGAAATCAAATAATGAAAGAGTATAACGATATAGTCAAATATTTCATAATACATAGATAAGACATCTACTTGAATTACTTACATCACCAAAACGTGCAGAGTCTGACAAGGCAATATATTTACATGTAGACTTTATAAGCAAATATAAGGATCCACAATATGCAAAAAATATATGTCTTAGCATTAAATTCCAATACATTTTTGTGTTCGTTTTGGTGATGTAAACAAGCAGCGCAGACATGTCGGCTTCCTCGTCACTGACAACTGTAAACCCAACTCTATTATGCAGACAAATAATTCGACATGTGGAGTTGTCCAGAGAATCCTCTTCAATAAGCTGCCTGCCTGCCTGCCTGCCTGCCTGCCTGCCTGTAGTATACTTGGTATGCAAGTATGTTATCCTTAG